AAGATGTAAAAATGTATGGATTTTACAAGGATCAAAATGTGTTTGATAAGATTTTGTTAACCTCGGATGAGAAATTAATTAAGAAAAATGTATAATTTTTTTGTTAATTTTAGATATGGAAAGTGAACAAGTGAAAGAAACAATGATAAGATGGGCAAAATTTTTTGGTTATGATATAGAATTAGAAAAATGGCAAATGTTATGGGAGAGAAACTATAAATTAACAATGGCAACTTCATACAAAGAAAATTTGTATAAAATGTTTTATAGATGGCACCTTCCACCAGCAAGATTAGCAAAAATGTTTAAAAATATGTCAGATAGATGTTGGAAATGTAAACATAATATAGGCACGTATTACCATATTTGGTGGACATGTGGGAAGGTAAAGGCCTATTGGAAAAACATACATATGTGGTTAGAAAAAATATTGGGTGAACAAGTGGATTTTAAACCTGAACTTTTTTTACTAGGCATTATGTCTGAAAAGATTAATGAGCAGAAATTATATTTAATTCTACATATTACCACAGCAGCAAGAATAATATTTGCACAGTACTGGAAGAATGAAGGATTGCCATCAGAAGAAATAATCACGAAAATATTGGAATGTGCAGAGATGGACAGACTAACTATGAGGCTGAAAGACAAAGAAGATACGGACTATTATAAAATTTGGAATTTATTCTATTCTTGGTTAGAGAAAAGAATGGAGGATTAGGAAGTGAACATGTATTAGCTTAGCAAACACCAGACAATTTGTTTGATTGGAAAAATTAACATATGTTGATGGGAAAAAAATTAATAAAAAAAAAGATTGTTAAAAAACTAAAACTTTAATTTTTAACACATATAGGCAAGAAAAACCAAATGCACAGGTACAGTATAGGTCCGTGGTGGTGAACGTATGGCACGTGTGCCACAGGTGGCATGCAGAGCCCTCTCTGTGGGCACGTGCGCCGTTACCCCAGTCCTAGGCCTTCAGCTGGGTTTTATAAAATCTTTTCGTTTTAGGCCTCTGCCGCCGTGTGCAAAAAAAAAAAAAAAAGGTTCAATCAATCAATTTCAACTTCTTGCGGGAAAAAAAAAGGTCCCGCAAAGTTGGAATTGATTGATTGAACTTTTTAGTCCCACCCAGTCTGCTGTTACCACTGTAGCTACGCCCCACAATGGGCCACGCCCACCCAATGGGCCACACCCACCTGGCACCCAACGATACATAAGTGGGTTTTGGGTTGATGTTTGGGCACTCAGTCTCTAAAAGGTTCGCCATCACTGGTATAGGTGGTACCTGGCTCAGCAGTAGTAACTGTGAGAGGGATCTCGGAGACCTAGTGGACAATCACTTAAATATGAGCCAGCAGTGTGCTGCAGCTGCCAAAAAAGCCAACTCAGTTTTGGGCTCCATTAACAGAGGGAGAAAATCAAGATCACGTGAAGTATTAATACCACTTTACAATGCCTTGGTAAGGCCACACTTGGAATACTGCATCAGTTTTGGTCACCACGATGTAAAAAAGATGTTGAGACGCTAGAAAGAGTACAGAGAAGAGCAACAAAGATGATTAGGGGACTGGAGGCTAAAACATATAAAGAATGGTTGCTGGAACTGGGTATGACTAGTTTAATAAAGAGAAAGACAAGGGGTGACATGATAGCAGTGTTCCAATATCTCAGAGGTTGCCACAAAGAAGTCAAGCTATTCTCCAAAGCACCTGAAGGCAAGACAAGAAGCAACGGATGGAAACTAACCAAGGAGAGAAGCAACCTAGAACTAAGGAGAAACTTCCTGACAGTTGGAACAATTAATCAGTGGAGCAACTTGCCTCCAGAAGTTGCGAATGCTCCAACAGTTTTTAAGAAGAGACTGGACAGCCATTTGTCTGAAATGGTATAAGGTTTCCTGCCTGAGCAGGGGGTTGGACTAGAAGACCTTCAAGGTCCCTTCCAACTCTTATTATTTTTTATTATTACATCTCTCCATGCATCTCATGGCAAAGTAAGCCTATACAGTAGGATGAATTGCTGATCTCAAAACTACTGTCCTAGAAGCCCTCTATATCTATACATCCTAGCTCTGCCTCTTGCTTTGGTGATCGTGCTATCATTACCTTCAGTATCCTTCAGAGCAACCCCTCACTTTTTATTCTCCCCCTAATGTTGGAGTGTGCTTGACAAAGATGATTCTTGCAACCTTTGTTGCTTTATTGGCAAATAAGGAAGAAAAGGAAAACAAAATAAAATAAAGTCAATAGCACCACATTCTGGTCTTCTTGTGTTGCGGCTAGAAGAATCAATCTTTTTTCTGTCCCTCCATCAGAAGACAGACCAATCTCACAAGAGAGAAATAAATTTTATTAAAAAGCAAAACAAATATAAAAATCCCTTTTTAGCTTTATATATGTGCAAAAATATTCAGTAGCAAAAGAGGTAAAAAAAATATAGGGCTGTTCAATCCTCAGCAATTGTAAAGAATAAGCCCTCTAAAAAATAAGAAAGATATTATGTGGACTTTGGAATATAGAAACTGATTTGTTAGTGATTTCTTTGCAAATATAAGCCCAGACAACATGCCGTTTACCAAATATTAAGGTGTTTATGTTAAAAAAAATTAATAAAATATATTTTTTAAAAAAGAAAGAAACTAAGAAGGAAAATATAAGAACATAACATTGATCTGCTCCACTCTAAAGCAATTGCAAATTGCATAAAACACACAAATTACTGGTTTTACACAAAGAGCATCAATACAAGAGACAAAATATTAGATTTTAATACTGTTAAACATGGTAACAAAAATTAAACTTAAGATGCAATTCCAATTAGACTTGTTATCTATTTCTTAGGATCATCTAATGCTTGAGGCTAGAGTCCACCGCTTGGACCTTTTCCAGCATTTTGTGGATTTTCCTTTAATGCTTGCTCAGGAAGATGCTACTTTTTTTCTTTTCCTGGTCTACATACATAGCTTTTTCTATTATTACAAAAGATAATAGTTTTTCTTTATGGCAGAAAGGGAGATCTCCCTGCATACCTAACCTCCAGCCTTACCTCATTCTGAAAGATCCTGCTTGACAAGGGATTGGGTGTTTCCTTCCAGTTAACAGTTGTTGTTCTTATGAAAGCCAAGGGGTATTGCAAAAGATGTGATTATCATTGGTTGAATAAGCCAAATAGATAGGTTCACTGAAAAAGTTGAACTATCATATATAGTTTACAAGCCACAATAATGTAATCTGTACAACCATACACTGAAAGCAAATAAGACACAGTATGGCTTAGCAGTAAATGTGAAGCTGATTGGTAGCTTAAGATGGCGGAGTGGACGAGCAAAGAATTTTTAAAACTTGGCAAAGCAGCAGTTGATTTAGCACTGGGTTTGCCTTTGGCCAGAGGTTCATAAACTTTGTAATCCTGCTGTCATCTCAAAAAATAAATGATTTTGTGTGATACTTCACCTGAATAAAGTACAGGTGATCCTTGAGTTATGACCATAATGGAGCCTGCCCATGACAATCATAAATCATGACGATCAGAAAATGGGTCCTCGTGTGACCAGACCAGTTTTTGCAATCTTTTTGCATGGTCATTTATTGAGTGCGGTAATCATAAAGTAAATGTAACAATTGTAAAGCGAATGCAGTAATCATTAAATGAACCAATGGTTTGCTATGGGGATTTTTTTTTTGAAAATTGGGAGTACTGTAACTGCCGGTTTTCAGCAAAAACATCATAAAGGATGATCATGTGACTATGGGACACTACAAATGACCATAGATGTTACCGAGTGCCCAAAGTGCAGTCATGTGATCACGGGAGAACAGAATTTGGTTGTACCTTCTGGGAGGTCCATCAGAACTTCAGATGGTTGCTAAACAACTGGTCATAAATCAAGGACTACCTGTAATAGATTTTAGTGGTTTATTGCTGTGGATTTGGGTGCTTCCTTAGGAGCTACTGTATTTCAGTTTTGTGTTTTATTGTGCTTTATTGTTGTTTCTAACTTGCTTTTTGTTGCACAGAGTCAAACATCAAATGATGATTATACAAATTGAATGAACAAATTAAACTGCTCTCTGGTTTTCTCCATGTTTAGAGCACCAAATGTCCCTCTCAAAATCTTATAGGTGCCAAATATTAGCTAAAGTGGCATACTAAGAACCATTATCCCATGATCATCCTGTGAATGACTATAGGTAAAGATCATCAGTCTCTAATCTCCTTCCAGAAAGTAAAATTTAGGCAATTCTTGAATTTTCTTACTGTTCAGCAGTAGGGTGCATTCATATGTATGTGTGTTTGCAGTTATGGAAGGTTTATTTATTAAATTTATATGCGGCCCCTCTCACTATTGAGATGTTTAGTAGTCACTCACTATTAAGCAACTAGTAGTCCTTTTTGGACTCCAGAAGATGGTAGAGGACAGGAAGACCTGGAGAAACGTTGTCCATGGGGTCGCGATGGGTCGGACACGACTTCGCAATTAACAACAACAAAGTCCTTTTTTTACACATTGTCCTCAATTTACAATTGTAATTGAGCCCCAAATTATGGTCATAAATGCCAGTCGTTAAGCAGGTTCCCACATGATCACACTTGAATTTACAACCTTTTTGTGACAGTCATTAAGCAAATGCAATGGATGTACAGCGAACATCACAGTCATTAAGCAGAGTCTGTGACTTTTAAGTGAATTCACAGTCTGCAATGCATAGTTTTTGACAGAAACTGGAGTAAATATCAGTTTCCGGCAAAACTAGGGGGAGAGGTTGGCCTTTGGAATTTTAAGTCCAAAGGAGGTCTGTTGTAACTTTGATCAGTTGCTAAGCGAGCAGTCATAAGTTGAGGACTACCTGTAAATTCATTGGAGGCTTAGTCTGTTATGAGCCATGATTGCCATCTTCTTTAAAAATAAAATGTTCCTTTCAACAGGAAAGAATGAGCAAAGCGACTGGAGCAATTGCTTTACATTTTGGCTTTCTCTTTTTGTCTTTCTACAGCTTTGATGTCGAGAATGGCTTCTCTCCAGGACGAAGTCCCCTTGATTCCCAGGCCAATCTGGGTCTGGGACTTGTTTTACAAGGCACAACACCCCACAGCCAACGTCGGGAGTCCTTCCTCTACCGTTCGGACAGCGACTATGATCTCTCCCCCAAAGTCATGTCCCGCAATTCTTCCGTCAGCAGTGACATGTAAGCAGAGAGGGCAAGGGTTGTATACATTTTTCTGTCTTTTACTAGAAGAAAGTAAGACTCATAAAATCACACAAAGACCATTTCTTTCTTTTCCACCTTTGACATCTTCTGTTATGTGGAGTTTCTTGATGCTTCTCTTCTGGCTGTAAAACCAGAGCCACACTAATCAGTGTTGTCTCCCAGGGACAACATTGTGTCTTAGGATGTTTGCAGTCTAGCTGCTCTAAGACTAGTGGCCAGTCTGGCTGAGATTAAAGAAAGATCGCGGAAGAATGCCGTTTCTTCAGAATTCTTGTATTTGCAACCAGAATTTGTCCTCCCTCAGCTTCCCATTCTTCAGCTTTTATATTTGAGAACAATCCCTTCTCAGGTTCAATGGATTTCCATGTAAGGCAGTGAGACAGAGCCTTATAAAATGGGTGCAGTGCGGATTCTGACCCAAGTTTCTGTTTTCACCTGGGATACGTTGAAAGGCCTGCCATAGTGTGGAAAGAAAGTTCCAAGGCCACCTATATATATTCCAAGGCAGTTACTCTAGGTTAGCTGAGGAACAGAGGTGTAATCTGGATAGGGCACTCAGTGTGGCACTTCATGCTGTGTTCGGAAATTGAACCCACCATTTGGACTTTGTAACCATTAACATCCTTCTCTTCTCCCCTTGCAGGCACGGAGAAGACTTGATTGTTACTCCTTTTGCACAGGTGGGTATCTCTTTAGGGTTGGAAGTGGTTAGCCCTTGTTAAGCCCCCCAAGACACTATTGTTGTGAATTGTAGCCTCATTTCTCTGAAAAGGATCAGGCTGGGGGTAGTTGTCCCTCATGGACTCTTCCTCACCTTTGATTATATATATTTTTGAACTTTTTCTAAAAGCCATTTAACTTGTTGGCCACAATCATATAACAGAGCAAGAAATTTGAAGAATTAATGCTGCAAAATTGTTTTTTATCTGTTTTTTATCCTCCTTATCCCCCCCCCCAAGTTTATATGTGCAAAAATAAGGAATTTCTCTGCTTCCACTCTGCTATGCATAGCTTTTCAAGCTTCCACTCTGCCTCCCATTTATATCATTTATATCAATCTTCTTGCTGCTCTTAATATACATACCTCATGTACAGGTAGTCCTTGACTTGCAACCCTTTGTTTAACGACTGTTCAAAGTTATGGCAGCATTGAAAAAAGTGACTTATGACCCTCACAGCATCCCCACGGCCATGTGATCAAAATTCAGGCACTTGGCAACTGCCATGTATTTACGATGGTCACAATCTCCTGAGGTCATGTGTTTGTCATTTGTGATCATCCCAACTGGCTTCCAACAAACAAAGTCAATGGGGGAAGCTGGATTCACTTATTGACCACATGATTCCCTTAAAAACTGCAGTGATTTAATAACTGTGGCAAAAAAAGATTGTAAAATCAGGCACGACTCACTTAACAGCCTCTTTGCTTAGCAATGGAAATTCTGTTCCCCATGTGTAAGTCAAGGACTACTTGCATGTGGTTTGGCATTCCCATATCCCTCCTTTGGGATATCTCACTGCTCTGTAACAGTGTTCTGCAGGAGGAAAACATTTTGTCTCTTAAAAGAAGGGAAGTACATGGAATAATGAATTCACCACCTGGAGTGAGCAAGCAATTTTTCCCTCCTGGGATCCAGAGTTTTGGTGCTACCTAGGAAGGAAGGTTAAAAGAGCCTCGCCCTCTCCTTAATCAGACAGCAAGAGAAAACTTCCATGTCTGGTAGCTGCGAGACCGCTGAGAGGCAGAGTTGAGAGTCAGGGAGGAAAAAGAGACTGACTAAAGGCTGCAACCTAAGTCTGCAAACCTCGCAATATTCTCTGAAGCAGGAAAGTTTCAGGGAAAAATTGTATAAAGGGTGGTCCTCCTATATCAGTGATGGCGAACCTTTTAGAGACCGAGTGCCCAAACTGCAACCCAAAACCCACTTATGTATCGTTGGGTGCCAGGTGGGTGTGGCCCATTGGCTGGATGTGGCCCATTGGGTGGGCGTGGCTGCGGTGGTAACGGCAGACTGGGTGGGACTAAAAAGTTCAATCAATCAATTCCAACTTTGCAAGATCTTTTTTTTTCCTGTGAGAAGTTGAAATTGACTGATTGAACCTTTTTTTTTTTTGCACACGGCGGCGGAGGCCTAAAGCAAAAAAGGTTTATTAAAACCCAGCTGAAGGCCTAGGACTGGGTCGACAGCGCACATGCCCACAGAGGGTGCTCTGAGTGCCGCCTCTGGCACCCGTGCCATAGGTTCACCACCACTGTCCTATATGATTACATCCTCTTGGGCTTAGTTTGTATAACCTGGTCAGTTAAAGACCAAGGGCATAAAATATGCTAAACTTGGTTAATTTTAACCATGGCTAACTTTGAGGCCCAGTTAATCTTTTGTTTTATATATGGTTCACTCTAGGAGGCAAATCCAGTAACTGAGGGTTGATTCAATAACTCAAAACTGTATTATGCAAATCCAGCTAACCTGTATTCATGTGAGACCAAGAGCGGCTATGCAGATTCTGAGGGCTGTTCTTCTCCCCATTCACAGGTCTTGGCCAGCCTGCGGACAGTTCGCAGCAACTTTGCTGTCTTGACCCACCTGCGGGAACATGCCTGCAATAAGTGAGTGACAGGTTCAGGTGGGGAAGGAAGGAATCATGTGGGGTCTGGGCAATTAAAGGGGTGGTTGGCAAAACTGTGTCCCATTTTGGATTTCCATCAACCTGCAGAAACCCTTTTCTGATCCTGTAGTTCTGCATGATTTGGTAAAGCAAAAGTGGATACAGAAGGCATATCTCTGGGGTCTCGTCCTTTTGTCCTCCCTATTGTGTACAAAGATACCTCAAATACCATTTGTAAGGACCATATTCTCATGATACCCCCATCTGCTGTTACAGTGAGGTTTTCTTCATTCTCCTGATATAATCTGATGGTGCATACCATTTGTGTGTCTTGAGGATAATATTGGTGATTGTGCAGTCCAGAACTTGGATTTGTTGAACTTCTATTGCCTACTTAAGACTGTTACAGCCACAGAGACACATATTGTGTCTTTGGGCCCTGCTCTCTGGGACCATTTTGACTTGAATTGGAAGAGAACTGGGCACTTGACTTCCATGGAAGCATCTACCTACGTAACCCCCAACTACTTCATTTTATGAATATGAATCTGCCAGTTTTCTGAAAGACTGGTAACCCTGTTTTTTTGGCAGACTTGTCAATAACTAATAGATTTGTATGTATAAAAGAGTGGTCCATATAAACAAGGGAAGAGACATCTCATTGATCATACTCCCAAATAAACATATTACAATTTTTTACTAGTCCTAACAAGTGCAGGATTTGCATGGTGTTATCTTTTTTGGGGGGGGTGCTCCAATTTTGGCCACTGTAATGCAATTTTGTGTGTCCTGTGGGGGCTACTAGTTGCAAACTCCATCTTTAATAGATTACTGGGTTGTGAAAAAGTGAAAGAGCAAGTTCCCCTTTTTCCTCACAGGAATACTGATTTTCCAGAAGATATTCCCATGTTAAAAAAGAAACACCACCAACAGTTGCTGGGATGTTTGAGGGGAGCAGGATGATGCAGAAGAGAGCTCTCCTAATGTAGCTGTGAGCTCTTCCCAATTGAGACTGTGTTGTTTTCTCCCCCCCCCATATGACTCTTGACATGAACATATCAGTCTCCAGAAGACTGATATTCCTATGTCAAGAAAACAAACAAAGAAAAAAAATATCCAGTCAGTGGGGCACACAAGAGTAGCAGTGTGATGGGAAAAGAAATAAGCTCTTTCCTGCTCCGTTGTATGGCCACCAATCTTTGTCAGCTGGAAGAGCTGATCTCCAAAGACCAACTATCCATGTTCGCTTAGGCCATTTGAAAAGGGACTAAACTCCCCATTTCAGGCACATGCTGGAGTTTCTCAACCTTGCGCCATTGGGCCACATGTTATGGAGAGCAATTCATGATAATTTTTCCCATCTGTAAGAGACCTATGATGGGAGAGGAAAGTAAGCCTGGGAATTAAAGCTGTACTGCAGCCTTCCTCCCCAGCCTGGTTGTTCAGGCACAGTGAAGCTTACCTGTTGGCCCACTTTTCTTCTGATTCAAGAATGGGAGGAATGCTGATTTAATACAGCTATGAAGCCACATCCTCAGTGTCAGTGAGTTGTGCAGGTCTAAATAGAGGGAACATAACAAGAAACAGAAACAAAGATGGGAAGTACATTTCTAGGGTGAGAGCAGCTGTGTTCACAGCGGAGGTCAAAACGGATTAAGATGGCAAATGCATGGTTACAATGCAATAAGGCCAAAATGCCCACAGGAAGGGATCAAAAAAGTGAAGCAGGTCACTACAATCATGCAATTGAAGGGACAAAGGGATGGAGCATGCATTCATGACTAGATGTCATGTCTGCCATCTTGCCCATTTCGACTCGGGGGGGGGGGGAGGAGAAGAACCTTGCTATGTGAGACCCACCTTTGTCCCAGATTTCCGAGAGAGAAGTAGGGAAGACATTTCACATTACTGCTCCCTTCTAAAACTGTACTTCTTTGAAGTACAGCCTCTTGGCATATTGGCTGAGCTAATTTTCAAATAAATTTGCTTAGGAATGCAGCCTTCTTTCAATTAGAGTTCATGGTTCAAGTATAATTTGTATGCCGGTAACCATACTGTAATCCTATGTGGAGGAGGGGGGATGAGTTCTTGAGTAAATAGCTTGTTGGGGGATTTTTCCCCTCTCTCCAGCATCAGCCACTGAGGGCCACAGGGCTTCAGACAAACTTAACTTTATGCTATATTTTGCAGACGAACGTCTGGTCCTATCAACCCCCTCACCACGTCTAAGGTCAATCTATCAGGTAAGCCCTCTCAGCTGTCTCTGGGATGTTTTCCTTCCCCCTCCCCAAATACTGTCTTTGAAGTGAAGTGGCCTCACCTTGTGAGGTGGCCCATATTACAAATTGGAAAGCTCATAAGCTTGTAAAAGGAAATCAGCTGATTAGAATCCAAGGTCTGCATCATTCAGCATCTGGCTTTCAAGAGAGGCCAATCAGATGCTTCCACAAAGTCTGCAAGAAAGATGCATAGGCAGATGTCCTTCTGTGGTTATTCCCAGTAACTGACATTCAGAGCTAGACTGCCTCTGATTATGGAAGTTTCAGGCTTCGTTCACGGCTTAACAGCTATTAAAAAATCTTCCCTACTGAATTTGTCAAAATCTCCTCTCGGCCATTGCTACATTTGGTGGGCAAAGAGTTCTATAAACTAAGCTCTATGCATAAAACAGCTTTTTTAAAAAAATGGTTAACTTGTTAAATTGGAGGTGCTGCAGACTCCATTTTTTGTGAGGTGCAAGGAAAAAACAACTGTCTCTATGTTCTTGCAGGATTTTACTTCTCTCACATCCTGCTTTAGTTGCTTTATAACACACACACACCCCATGCTTTACCCTTTCCTATTTCTGAATATTGGGAAACGATGATTTGCCCTTTTCCAAATGACTTTGTGGCACAGAAGTTCGAACTAAACATTCTTGGGGGTGGGGAGTGTTTCCCTCCTAGCTCCTGTCTATGCAGTGTCAGCAGGCAACTGTACTGAAGCCGTGGAAAGGAAAAAAAAAAAAAGGTTTCTTCTGCCTAAAGAGAAAAGCTGGGGGGGGGGGTGATACCAGCTCCTTTTCATGCACTGTGCATGAGAGTAGTATTGAGGCCCGCTGCAGGTGATTCTAAGGGGAGCCTCCCAGGGTCTGTCTTGTCCACTGTGGGATACTTGCCCTCCCACCCCTGCCCACCACACCCCCCTCAGCCTCTGCAGTCTGTGTTTGCTCTGGGCTGCCCTCTCCCTGCCCCTCCTTCTCTGGCTCTGCTTCATGCCACCTCTGCGGCGGGTGGAACGTCTCCAATTGACGTCAGTTGTTCCATTATTCAAAGCGCTCTCTTTCAGCTGGTCTCTGCGGCCCCACAAGAGACAGGCCCTTCTGATGGGCAGCCCTTCCTTTCCTGTCTCAGGGCAACCTGAACCACCTCTCTCTCCTGCATTCTGCTAAACCTTTGGCCAACAAATCGGTTCCAGAAGCATACATCAACCTCCGTGGGCTTGTCTGACAGAAGACAGGGGTTGCAATAGAGGCACATGCTGCAGCAAATGGGGAGGGGGGAGGTGTTTGATGGCTCCCAGTGAAATACACTAACAAGAGGGGGAGGCAACTTATATACCAATGCTATGGCCGAGCAGGATTCCCAGGCTGTGGCATTCAAAAGTCCCAGAATGATAGGGAGGAAAGCCTCTTATTACTTTCTTATCCCTTTCTCGTCTTTGCTTCCTTACCTTGCCTCTTTGGACAAGGTAAGCAACGTCAGGACAGCCTAAAGCCAGGATTTTGCCCTAAAATTCAGTGTTTGGTTGATTGTGATATATTGAATAAACCATAGCTCCTTGGTTCATAGATATTGCTAAGCCTCTATGAATGAGTTTGTACATTAAAGCAAAAACAAACTAAATTTAGCCTTCTATGAGGCATGAGCCCAGGAAAGATTGAAATGTAGATTATAAGCTCCTTGAGAGCAAAGACTTGTCTTATTTCTCTAGCCCTGTGTTTTTCAACCTCAGCAACTTTAAGATGTATAGACTTCATTTCCCACAATTCCCCAGCCAAAATTGCTGGGGTTCAGAAACATTGCTCTAGCCGTTTAAAATATATGCAAACTACTTTTCCAGCAAACATTCAAAGTCCAAACTGCTGCTTCAAGTTATTATAGAATAAAATCACAGAATAAAAGAGCTAATGCTAACAAAAGAATATCCCAAAAGCAAATTAAAATATTAGAGTTGCAACCCTTAAGGCAAATCATCCAGAATAAGAGCATTTATTTATGTTGCAGCAATTTTAATATAAATCATTAATAGTTTTTTCTGGCAATCCCATGTGGATCAGCATCTTGTTCCCTGAAGAGGCGAATATAATTTTCTGAATCAAATGATCCTGTTCTGTTTATTGTGGGTTTGCTTCCCACTTGATTTCAAATATTCCAGCTGGGATCTTGGATAACTCTAAAATGTCCCGTTTTATTTAACCTTACTTGCAAGGTTGTTATGCCTCCATATTTAGCCCCCACCTTGATAGTTCTGAGTGGATGACACCTGTGAACTCCAAAAAATAAAACCTGGACCATTTTTTTCAAACTAGAGCCAGTTTTTAGAACGTACCACTGTGGTTTCCACCTAAGGCTACCCAGGTTTTTGGCAGTTTTGAATCTAATTTTCAGTGTGTGTGGAGACTCAACTATGCCACTCCTTAAGATACCACAGACATGCCTTCTAGACCAGGGATCTCCAACCTTGGCAACTTTAAGACTTGTGGACTTCAACTCCCAAAATTCTGGGAGTTGAAGTCCACAAGTCTTAAAGTTGCCAAGGTTGGGGACCTCTGTTCCAGACAGCATTTTCAGTGATGCTCTTTGCATTTCCTAGAGGATGCCTACCAAAAGTTGGCTATCGAGACCTTGGAAGAGTTAGACTGGTGCCTGGATCAGCTGGAGACTTTGCAAACACGTCATTCAGTCAGTGAGATGGCTTCCAACAAGGTAAGACATTCAACCTGGGTTGGGATTCAACTCCAAAGGCAGGAAGTCCCCTCTTCTCTCTCTTTCTTGACCACTGTCAGCCTCCGTTATCAATTCCCCTTTTGGCAGAGAAATTGCTGTTGTGTTATGGCCATGAAATCGTTTCTTTTTTAAAAATGGCATAAGGTTTTCAGAAGAAAAGAGGAAGCCAAGGAAACGGTGCAGGCTTTTTGCTTGAAGCTGATTAAAATTTGAGGAACAGCTGAAAGTTGAGAAATGGGGTTGCTGTTTGCAACATTCCACAAGCCACCTTTGCAAAACAATTTTACGTTATTCCAGAAGTCTGCAACCCCTGTTTGTCTAGTGCAACTCTTCCCATGATATATCCCTGTGCTGTTTCAACTGTTTCAGAGTTGGGGAAGGCCTGCTCTGGGCCAATGGCCGTCAAGCAGCGCCTTTCCCCACGGTTCACTTTTATTCTTCCCTCTGAAGAGAAGCATTTGTGAACTTCCTGAAGGGCAGCCTTGGTTGACCAGTCATACAAATAAACAAACCATGATATCGGTCATAAGAGATCGGAAGTGACTGCTATAAATAACTTTTATGTATTTCAGTAGGGAAAAATGTCAGAGGAGACAGTTGGGGAAAAATAAAAGTATAGGTCAGTATTCAAAATGCTAAAATGGCTGGCAACTGTTATTGCCTTTCATTCAAGGCAATAAAATAAGTTCTTTCAATTTTTTTTATACACCCCCAGTTTCTGCTCCACTGATTCCAACAGAGTGGAAAATAGTAGTTATGTGTATATATATATACACACTGTGCTGAAAGCCAGTGAAAAGTGAGGATTTGTGTGGGGGACAGTCCAAACCATAAGAATGAGGTAATAACACCCATTTGCAAGGTTTATATAACACGCAATTACTATCTGATGTCCTAATAAAATGGAGCATAAACCAAACAATGCCAAGCTACCCAATTCAGTTTTAGCTTAAAATGTTCAGCCTATCTGTGGGGCAGGAAAGCAGGGGTATATTTAAATAAGTGTCTTCCCCGGCCACTTTTAGATTCTGAAAAAGATCAGCCTTCCCTCCTATCACTGTGAGCCCTTTTTACCACCAAAGAGAGAGAGAGAGAGAGAGAGAGAGAGCCTCCTCCAGCCTTTGTTCACCTTTGTTCACCCTAGGAACTCCACTCTCTCCAATTGTCAATAGTTTTCTTGAAGAAGGTGAAATGGGGAGGAGGGGATTATCTCCCAGTATTCCTCTTCCCTGGTCTCTCTGACAGCCTTGGCTGTTGCTAAACAGAGTTTTTGGAAACAACTTCCATGCTCTGTTGTGCCTGGGCACCATCGGGGTTAAAGCAAATCGCCTTCCTCAGAGGGTCTGCCAGCCAATCGGAGAGATGAGCTGGCTCCAGCCTCTGTGGCTGTGGCTTCTGATTGGATGGCAGCAGAAAGGAGAGGTACCTGATGCTGGAGCAGCCTTGGTACATCCATGGAAAAACCTTTCTTCGGCAGTGATGCAGGGGGGACTTTGTCCCCCTCCCCAGCTTCTGTCCTGACTCTCAACGTGGCAGACAAGTCCTAGGCTCCTTGTTGCAGAGCTTGGGACGGGAGTTCGGGCCTCTTGGTAGAAGCATCCGTGGTCTGACTAGGGCACCTCGGAGAGAAGGGTGGGCTCGCACACAAGCTGGCACTTTTGGCGTTGCGATGCCTGACGCCAGCACTTCGTTGTTCGCATTCTGGGACAGCAGCATCAAGGTAAGTGGGGACTCCCCGACCCAATGTAACTCTTGGCAAATCTCTCCGGCAAGGGATGCAGGAAAGGGGTTTTGCCGCTGCAAAGATTTAGTCACAGACACAAAACATCAAACAAACACACACACACAAACGTGTGCACACCCCTAAATGCATGCTATTCTGCAGCAGTGGGAATGCCTTTTTTCTCTCTAATTGTTCAGGTATCCTCTCCTTATCGCAGGAGCTCAGGGGAGGTTTCTGCTTTTGATACATCAGTAATGCTTTTATTTTTTAACCTCAATTAAAATACTCTCGAAGGAACTCCGCAAAACTGTGGCTGAATAATGCCGTCACCCAGACAAAACAGTAGTTCAGAAGGGTGTCTGTCCCCGTCCCCAAATAACATGCCACTTGATGAAGAGACATATATAAAAGAAGCTTATTTCAAAGTGGGCAAAAAAATGCAATCAAGGCAATCGTGTGTGTTTTGAGTTATACAGAACTCTTCTTCCCAGCAGCTGAATTTTTAAACAATTCTAGGAAAGGACCAGGTGCATTAATCCACACTGTAGAATATAACTCCACATTGTTTCACATAAGTATAATTCTTTTTCATTAAGGTGAATCCTTTAATAGGATGGAAGGCTTGTTTCAGTATGGATGAGATCTAGCACATCTGTCTTGGAACTAGGTCATGTTTGAGAAAAGCAGTAAAATATACAACATGAATGTATCTTTGTATGTATCACCCAATTCTTTATGGAGTTTTTTGGGTATTCTCCTCTAGTGTAAAAAACTAATTTTTACACTAGTTTTGAAGCAAGATTCCTGAGCTCACCTTTGATGTTTGAAAATTTTCACTTTTAAGAATGTAAAATTGAAGATTAATCTAAGATTTGTGCAATCAGAATTCCCCAAGTAATTGTTTTTTAAAATTTTGTTTGATATTTCTTCTTCTCCTTGGCCATATGTGCTACCAGTAATACACATAATTTAAATGCTTACAACTCAGCGAGAAAATAGATATTATGTTTGTAGCTCATCAAAAGATTTTGCTGTGGTTTAGCTTTTCCTCTGCATATTTCAATATTTGCTTTCTTTTGACTCATTTTCATGTCTCAGGTACTATACTACCTCAATACCTATTATTTTAATGTTTTAAAATCATCTTTGTTTGCAATTTGGCAATCCTTTCCAGATTCTGAATATAACCAGAAGCCAGCTAAGAAAATTCAGAAATTAAGAAGGAAAGTAGATATTTTTCTGCTGCTGAAGTACCTTATTTGAAATATCTTTCCTTGCCACTGATCTCTTTCTTTAACAATGGCTTCCTGTTCAATGGTATCTTTAAGGCCAGGCCCATGGGATTCAGATTCTCCTGATCCAAATGCTGTGATGGCTCCTTACAGGTTGCTGATTTCCTCTCCCCTCTGTCTCTAGTTTAGAAGAATGCTCAATCGAGAACTGACACACCTCTCGGAAACAAGCCGTTCTGGAAACCAGGTATCCGAGTACATCTCCAACACATTCTTGGGTGAGTCATCAGCTTAATGGTCTTCAAATGCAATTATTGAGGAAATTGTTAAATTGATATAGAAGAGTGGGACAGTCACTTTTCTAAGGGGAGGCAGATGTAAACTGTTAAAGAAATGTTATTCTACAGAAGCCTACAACACATACTGCTCTTTTTGATCCTGGTACATAAGCAATAGGCCTTAGAGAACATTAGAAAGAAAACTGAACAAAAAATGAAATTCTTTTGCAGTATTTTCGGATTTCAGGTTTCTTGAACAACTAGCATCCTTCTCGTGAGGTTATCACTATTCTCTTTTAAAACACCATAAAGAGAAATTTTGGAGAGCTGTGCTGTAGCAGACCTACCAAGCTGTCTAGTCCAGTGTTCTGTTCCTTCAGCGATGAAACAAACATCACTGGAAATTCTATAATAAAGACATAAATGCCATCTCCTTCATGTACAAACTGAGTTCCTGATCATACAAGTTGACAACCAGTGGAACAGACTGCCACATGAAGTGATCAGTTCTTCTTCATTAGAAATCTTTAAGCAAAGGATATATAGTCATCTGCATAGATGTACTAGTGGATCCTGTACTGAGCAGGAAGTTGGAGTAGACACTTCCAACTTTATTCTGTATTTTGCCATGATTAATATTCATAAGTGTACTTCATCTGATACTGGTGGTGACATACCCTCAATAATGAACAATCTCATTCTTGTCTAATCTTTTGAAGCTATCCAAGTAGGCATGCATCACTGTAACTTGTGATAATGAACACCACAGTTAAACTTTTTGTTTGCAGAAAAGTGCTTCCTTAATTAGTCCCAAATATCTTATCATTAAATTTCTCTTTCCATTATCTACCATTGCTGCATTCTGACTTATTCTAATTCATCTCTAACATCTCCACTAATGTATAACTTTTTTATCTAAATTCCCCAGCTTTTTATATATTTTACATATTTTCCTGATAGCAAATTAGCTTTAGCCCTACATTATTTTGGCTATTCTTTCCTGCACCTTTTCCATATTATATTTTTTTAAGTGCAGCAATTATATACTAGAATTATGAAAATGATAGCTTCATTCATTCATTCTTTCATTCATTCACTCAATTTCTATAGCCACCCTTCTCAACCAAGTGATGGGCAACTTACAATTATAATATTATAAAGCAATTAAAAACATTAAAAGAATAAAGGCATCCATAAAATAAATGTATAAACAGCAGCTGTGATAATTTATCAACTAATAGCAAAGCCAATTTAATTTTAGTTCTTTTACTAAAAATTTTCAAAATGGAATTAACCTTTTGAATAGGGACTGCATGTTAAGTCTTGTTTGAGATAATCACTGCAATCCCAAGATCCTTTTTGTGGATCATCAATGAATCTAAAAAATTAGGCTACACTGGGCAGTAAATGTACTTCAATTCTTGTGTAGAATAGCACTTACCAAATGTGAATAGTATAATGCAAACATATAGAATAGCCAAATATAATGTGTACCTGACTTTAATTCTTCAAAGTTTATCTAATTCATGAAATGCTATCCTCAGTTTTCAGACAGACAAATAAGCCAAAAGATGGAGATATATATACAGGAATAGAGAATAAAAAACTTGGTTAAAATGGTCTTAGTCCATTAGGTCATCAGTACTTCTCTATATGCCCTAATGAAGAAATTGGTATCTTGCATTCACATGCAAGTAGGCAAGTAGGTTTTCATTCTGGGGCAGCACCTGTATTGTGGCACAGGTGAAATTCACATGTCTCCAATTATATCTTTTAGAATCCTGTTGAAGACCTGTACATTCACCTTGGTCTTCCGAATGTGAAGGATCATTGAATGATTTCTCATTTGATTGTTCTTTTTCCCCTCCTATTCATTTTTTTTTTTATCAAGGATGGGCATAGCATTTAAAAGAGCCATTTCTCCAAGTACCTTTGTTGAAAATATGAAGGCAACCGTGTCCTTAACAAGGCTGGCATGGCTATTTTGAAATCTTTCTCCGGCTCTTTCTCTATGCACATGTGTGCCCAGTTATTTTGCTTCTCTAACAGTTTTTCACCTGTATTATCTATGCATGTATATACAGGCAGAGACAACTGGGACAGAAGCAACTGCATGAGCTTTGTGAGCAAAGTGGCTGTTTTAATGTTTCAAAGAGAAATGCTTCTCTTGCATTAACTGTTTAACCCTTTACACAAACTATTTTTATAGCGACTTAGGTGTTGTCTTTATTATTCTATTATAATAATTTTGTTGTAAACTACCTAGAGAAACAAATGTAAGTGAAGCTATGTAGAAATGTATAAAATAACAACATATACATCAAGTGCACTGATAATGCACAAGAATAGTAGGCAACAATACAGGCATTCTGACTTTGATATGCAAACTGAAAGTCGCAAAAGGAGGGAAACAATGGTCTTTCTTAAGCTATAAAATAAATGCCTAAATTCTACTTCAAATCTGCCTCCTTGTTTTTCAAGGCGGCAAAGATGCAGGCAAGATTGGCGCATTCTTCTTAGCTTTGCAAGAGAAGATACCTTTTAAAGTTCTTCTGTTAGTGAGTGATGTCAATAATAATAATAATAATAAAAATAATAAATAGAATTTATTTTTTATTTAATTATTTTAAAAATAAAAAAAATTATAAAAATCAATAATAGATGACCCTGAATAACTGAAAGTTCTCCTGCTGTTTGGAAGGTCATTGAAAACAAAATAATGTTTAAAATGCAACACTTCTAAAAGAAACTAATTAGAATAGGATGACCATCTGTAAGTTGAAAACAACTGGACCATCACTAGATAGCTGCAGAAAGTTAGAGTTGTCTAACTTTTAATTGCTGCCTTCTAATGATCATCCAGATATATGCAGTTCAGCTAACGACAGTCTTACAAATAAGAAATTTGTCTGAAGCTGAGTACAAACATTTATGATTTAAAAAGAAAAAAAGATCAAAACACATTCTAAGCAGTTATCCTGGAAGGAAATCCTAATCCTATTATTCTTATTCAAATCTTATATCTATTAATAAAGAATATGCTTTGATTATATTACTATTGGTGCTTATAAACAGTGATTTCGCTTAGCAATTTTTAAAAATTAAAACATAGGAAAGAAAGTTCTTTCCGTTTGTTCTCTCCATGTATGTGACTTTTTTTTTCTCATGTGTTATACAAGTTTGAATATATACGTGTATGTGTGTGAGTGAGAGAGAGAAGACAGGTGAAATGGGGAGACCCTGGCTGGTCTTAGAAACATCACTTTGAGGAAAGGACCGACATTCCACCACGCATTGTCTCTGGTTGCCATGGTGTCTGTAATATTATTAGTTTCTGCTGACGTCAATCCTTCTGTGCCTCAATATTGGGGGAGGGTCTCCCTTTGAACAGCAGGAGACTTGTGCAGGGGTGGGGGCTTTTCATACTCCACTTTTTCAGCATGCTTAACTCTTTGGTTTCAGAAATGTTGTTTCAAGGAGGACAAATGTTAGTGCTGGGCAGGGAATTTGCTAGCTCATAACAACTTTGAAATGAGAATGCTGAGTTCCCAACTCCATGTGGGGAGAAAGAGTATGTGCTTGTAAAGGGTTTCACAAGATACAGTTTCTTCATCCTTCTCTATCTCCTCCTCTTACTTCTTGACTTGAATTTAGATTTTGTAAAGCTTCATGAAGATGGAAGGTGCCATATTACATAATAAGACAACGGGGCTATGCTCCTCAGATTAATAGGAGCAAAGATCTGATTTGATTTATGTTGATTCTTTGATTTTCGAGATACTGTCACGACACCATTTTTTTTTAATCACAGAAAAAGAAAGTTCATAAAGGTCCTGGATTTTATTGTGAACCATCAAATCATTTAAGCTGTCAGCCTATATTTTGTTCTTTTCATTGCAGGGAATCTGTTTCTTTCGGGGAGCTTCTCTATTCTCATTCATGATCTCAATAGGAATCCCCATAAGCTTCTGAAGAATTTGGAGGAATCTACGTAATAGGACTTGTTCCATTGCTATTGTATTTTCTGTCTCCCGCAGACAAGCAGCATGAGGTGGAAATCCCAACCTCTGTTCCCAAAGAAAAAGACAAGGAGAAAAAGAAGCGGCCAATGTCACAGATCAGTGGTGTGAAAAAACTGATGCATAGCTCCAGCTTCAGTTGTGCTGCCATTCCTCGTTTTGGAGTAAAAACGGACCAGGAAGGGCCATTGAGTAAGGTGAGGAACGCCAGGCACCAGAAAAGACTGGAACAGGAAAGCTGGCGTGATTCACTACATATTGGGGTTGTATATTCTGAATTTTATCTAAATGCAGAATTGATGTTCAACATAAAGAAGTCCTACCGCAAAGCATTTAAAAACAAGTTTCTAATCTTCAAATTGCATAGCTTAACTATAGTAAGAATATTAACCGAAGACTAGTTGGGATGGCGAGGGATATTTTTTCTGCAGGTTTACAGATTAGTTTTGAGGCTGTGGGGAGAGGGGGGGGATATGGAATAGATATCATTAATTGTGGCTCCACTGTTGTGGGACTCCCTTTAGTTGCTTCTTCTTGAGTCGTAAGCAAAAACTCTTTTCTTTGTAAAAATAATTAAGCTGCTTCTTACGTGCATGGATATCTGCCAATTTCAGGTTGTTTTAATTGCTTAATGTTTCATTCTTACTGTAATGTTTTTAAACCTGCTGTAAAACATCTTGATAATAATTTGATTGATCTTTTGATTGGTGGAAGAAGGAGGAAAGGCATCTGGCAGGGGGAACTAAGAGGAGGAAAGGAAGACAGGATTCTTCAGGGAAATAGAGGGAGAGAGGGAGGGAGAAATCCAGAGGGTGATATTGGAACTCAAATAAAAACTGAGAAGAGGCTAAGGAACTCTGTCTGAGTGAGTGATGATAGAGAACAAAAAAAGAAAAAAGAAGGGGAGGGCTGCGGAAGATAGAAGCATATTTACAGAGGACAAACTGAATGGTTTGAAAGAAAAAGAAATAAAGAAAATACAATAAAGGAATTGGAAAGATACTGAAACAAGAAAAAAAAAAGACAAGAACCTGGCTTTACACACACACACTCACAAACACACACTCATACTGTATGAGTGTGTATGTGTGAATATATAAAAATCTAGAAGCCATATATCCCTATTTCAGTCTTTGCAATACCACTTTGGTAAATGCTATCCCCTTTCAATTGAGCACACTATATTGTGAAGCAGTTCTACTTAATCATGCAATGTACCACAGTTCCTGAAATTCAGTTTGAGGTTTTTTTACGTTCTTACTCCTGCTTATTTTAATTGTCTACCTACTGAAAACTTTAGTAATTTTTTATATATTGTTCAGTTATGCTAAGTAAGTCATCTTATTTGGAGAGACAGGGAGGCAATTTGTTTCTGCTTTTGTTAGTTGGCAGAATCCAAGATTGTAGTGACACCTTTTCTTGCCGCCCCCTTTAGGAACTAGAAGATGTGAACAAATGGGGCCTTGATGTATTCAAGATTGCAGAGTACTCTGGCCACCGCCCACTAACAGTCATCATGTACAGCATCTTCCAGGTGAGCTGACTCTTTTTCACAAAAAGTATCAGGTTAACAAAATTGTTATTGAAATGTCAAAAACTAAATGGCAGAGGAGAGATACTGCAGTTTTATCATTAAACAGGGCCATTGGACTGGAAGAAGAGTCCAAAGAAGTAGTTCAGTCTATATGTATATTAATTGATCAATAATGTAATGCAGGTACATTAGGTAAATAACATTTTACGCACTAATGGTCACTTCCATGCTGCTTTGAAGCCTTACACATTTAGTTGTTATGCCTACTTTGCAACAACATCATACTGATTGATTTGGAAATTGTAGGGTATTTTCTTAAGAACTATGGCTAGAGTAAGAGATTTATTGTGTCCTTGGCTAGTTCTGAAATCTCGGGAGAAAGGATGAATTTGGTTTCACGAGTTCTTCCTCCAGCTCTTCTTTTCCCTGTTTCTCTGATGTTTTAACTAGGAGGGTCATAGCAGCTTCCTTCTGTATTGTCCACATTATAGGAAAGGGACTTGCTGAAATCTTTTCACATTCCTGCGGATACCTTCATCACATTCATGATGACCCTGGAAGATCATTATCATGCTGATGTTGCCTATCACAACAACATTCATGCAGCAGATGTTGCCCAATCCACACATGTATTGCTTTCAATGCCAGCTCTGGAGGTGAGTCTACAGAAGGCTTTTGGGGGGAGCTTTGAAATACGCAGGGAAAAATCACAGAAGGCTTTTGACAATGTCAATTGGCTATTTATGATCCAACAATTAAAATCAATGGATGTTGGGGGAAAAAATTTAAACATGATAACTGCAATATATTCTGAACAAAAGGCCCAGATCATAATAAATGGAGAGGCCACTGATAAATTCAATATACAGAAAGGCACAAGACAAGGATGTCCTCTCTCGCCATTGTTATTTATATATACATTAGAAACTCTTGCTAGAGTACTAAGGCAAGAAGAGCAGATTAAAGGATTTAGGATTAAGAAAGAAACATACAAACTTCAAGCTTATGCAGACAACCTAGCATTTATATTAGAAGACCCAGAACAAACAGAGCAGAAGTTATTCGAAATATTGGAAGAGTATGGAGATCTGGCAGGTTTGAAAATAAATAGAAATAAAACAAAGATTATTACAAAAAACATGACTAATATACAAAAAGGAAACCTTGAGGAAAAATTAGGTATACAAGTAGTTTCCAAATTAAAATATCTAGGGATAGTTATTTCAGCACGCTGCTCATCAATTAAAGAAGATAACTATGGCAAATTGGTAAAGAATATAAAAGTAGATGTAGACTGCTGGAAAAATTTATATCTCTCACTCTCGGGAGAATTGCAGCAGTGAAGATGAACATTCTACCCAAAATGATATTCCTGTTTCAGAACATCCCAATTTAATTAAACAAGAAATTTTTCAAGGAGTTGAATAAATTAACCTTAGAATTTGTGTGGTCAGGAAAGAAGGCAAGAATAAAATTAAAGGCATTACAGGATGCCAAAGAGAGGGGAGGTTTAGGTTTCCCAGATTGGGAGCTATATTACCAAGCAGCGGCCCTGACGTGGATTAGAGACTGGATAACCTTAGAAAATAAAAGATGCTCACATTTAGAGGGTTACGACCACCAGCAGGGTTGGCATGCTCACATATGGATGGGGCGGAGCAGAAACTACCAGTATTTTTTAAGACATAAGGTTCAACAAGAACTAATAAAAAGCTGGAATATAGTCAAACGTCAACATTATACAAAGATCCCGGCTTGGTTATCGCCATTAGAGGCAGTTACATATCTCAATCTGTATAGGAAAGACAAGGCTATTATGTATAAAGACAACTTAATCGAAGAAGGTTACTTAAAACAAAAACAAGAGTTAAGACAACAAGGAATAGACCTGGAATGGTGGTCTTATCTCCAGATACAAACAAGATACATGAAGGATAAGCAAGAATGGGGTATTAACAGACAAGATACGGGGTTAGATAAAATACTGCTAGGCCCGGAGAAAAAACAAATTAAGAATATTTATAAATACTTGTTGGAATATAAGCTATATAAGGAGCAGGTTAAAGAAACAATGGTGACATGGCCAATGGATTTAGGATATAATATAAATATGGATCAATGGCAGCAAGTATGGGAACGAAATAACAAAATCACAGTGGCAACATCATATAAAGAAAACCTGTATAAGATGGTTTACAGATGGCATCTCCCCCCGGCCAGATTAGCCAAAATGTATAACGGATACTCACCTATGTGCTGGAAGTGCAAAAAAGAAAAGGGCACATTTTTTCATGTATGGTGGACATCTAGAGAAGCACAGGTGTATTGGCTTATGGTCTGGGAATGGGTAATAGAAATGACTAGGCAAAACATTCAATACAAACCTGAGACATTACTATTAGGAATACTAGGGAAAAATGTAAATAAAGGTGACACATATCTAATCATTCGGCGGCAAGGATACTGTTTGCTCAAAAGTGGAAAGCGATGGAAGTACTGAGGGGGGAAGCACTAATAAAGAAAATTATGTATTGCGCAGAACTAGACAAGATAACTAAAAGATTAAAAAAATCAGGAAGAAACAGAATTTTATCGAATCTGGAATAAATTTTATAAACGGAGGGAAAAAAATGGGGGTCAACAGCAAAGATGTAAGTTAAGACAGAGACTAGGAATATACAGTTGTATATAGATATATCATATGTAATTATTGTACAATATGAACTGACAAGACGGAGATATATGTCAAAGACGATTTATCATGTTCAATGTTTTTAATCTTTTTTTTTCCTTTGTACACAATAAAAAAGTTTTTTTAAAAAAAGAAATACGCAGGGAAAAAGAGAGGGAAAGTTCTATATCCTCCTTATTTTGCTGTAATTGTTGGAGCAATTCTTTCAAGTCACTTGGGGGGCTTTCTATAAGACAAGAACAAGCTGTGCAATTGACTAATAAACTCCTACTAGGAAAAATCCTTGAATTCTGTGACACTCAAAGAAAAAAGCTAATTCTTCCAAGAAAAAGAATTCTGGCATGGCCAGCCAATTTCTCCATTGTTCTGTTAAGCTATAAGAGAAAAAACCAGTAGTTCATAGAATAATGGAATCGTAGCATCATAGGATTGAAAGCAACCTTGACGGTCTTCAAGTTCAACCCCCTGTTTGAAGTACCTTCCTGTATACACTGATACCGTGTGAAATCTCAGAGAGTGTTCCATTCGTATTTTATTGGTTTATTCTATCTTTTCCAATGCTGTTTTTGCTCCTTTTGTTCTCCAGGCTGTTTTCACTGACCTAGAGATTTTGGCTGCCATTTTTGCAGCTGCCATCCATGATGTTGATCATCCTGGTGTTTCTAACCAGTTCCTGATAAATACCAGTAAGTGAACCACCTTTAATACCACAATTTCATTTGTTCTTTAGGCTATTAATACTGTCTGCAGTCTAATCTATCTTAGGTCTTATCCAGATGTCTTAGGGTTGTATCTTACATGTCTGCTTTCCTCCTATCCTTGAATCGAGAGGAATGTATGTCAACATGAAAGACTGCCTCACAGGCCAACATTTACTGTGACTCAGCATAGAGCTGGTTAATTTGTTGCCTGCACCCAATGTAACATTGGATAATTTTAGGAAGCTCTGTTGAGCTTCCACCTCCATCTGACAGTCTTTACCAGCAAAACATTGCTTCCTGCTATCTGGCAAGGCAGGGCTGGAGGATTCCAGGTCCTTCAGTCAGCTGAAATATTTTATGTAGGGGGGTTTCAAGGTCAATATTCATTTCTTCTTTTACAGCCTGTCCTAGTAATGTTGATCTGTCAGAAGATTGAGAAATTGATATTCCCATGGCAAAAATACTTCAGAAGAGTGCTTCTCAGCCTGTGATCCATGGACCCCTGGGGGGACGTGATGTCACAGGGGGTCTGCAAAGGCTTGAAGAAATGTTATGATTTAAATGCTGAGTTAAGTCTTGGTGGTCCGTGGCCACAAAAGGTATTTAAAGGGGGTCCATGGTGAAGAAAATGTTGAGAACCACTGCTCTAGAATATTCCAAACTGTTTCACTGAAGCCCCTCATCAAACATTGAGAGCTCAGGCTCAACAATTAGAACTCATCATAGTGAGAAAGCAAATCACTTGATTTCCACTCTTCTGGAAATTGAGATCTGTCAGTAAGTTACCATTTCCAGAAGACCTCTCCTCCCCCTGCTATTACCTCCTTACTTCTGATGGGAGGATATCCTCATAGACCACCAATGGTTTCGGACAAAATTTCAGAGAGAAACCCAGACTGTAGATCACTTCTTGAAACAGAGTTTATCTATAGTAAGAGTAGATAACAGATCACAGATAAATTTTGGAGTGGCTGTCTTAAACAGGTTAATTCTTGAAAAAATTGCTAAGTAAGTGGTTAATTCTACTGACTCAATAAAGCATTGTCTTTTCATATGCTTAAAAAGTCCTTTCAGTACTTTTTAATTAATGTGGACATAGGAACTTTCTCCCTCAGGGTGTTCTGTGGTTTAACCAGGGCTAAAACTTACTACAAAGAATGCAAACTCGGATCAGTATTACAGCAGGTTTGAGGAAAGTGGGAAGCAAGGCACACAAAATAAAAGGCATTTAACACGAAATGTTTTGATGCCAAAAGTAAACTAATTAGAAAATTCAAATTATGTAAAGAGAAGCTGGCTGAGAAATCTAGAACTTTATACTCCTGAAGAAACAATACAAATGTCTATTACAAAACAAGAAAAGAAAATACACTATGCTTCTTGGCAGCAATTGATAACAACCCTCATGCCAGAAATATCATTCTACTCTGGTGCCTGATTGGTGGCACCAGATTGACAGGTGCCTTCCCCTTCCCCAATTCTTACCTGCCTCTATGTGGGAGGATTATTTTAGAGTATTATAGTCACAAGAAGTGTCTCCTAAATTCAATTTAACTCGTAATGCTAACCTGCTCTCTAATTGGGCCCAAGTTTCAAATGCTGAAATGAAAAAGTTTATAAATCATCTAATGCCTGGTAAGGCTTTTGAAATATTATACAATAACTGGGAATGGTGGCCCTCAGTTCTTGCTTTCCTATTCACCTATACTAATCACTCTGTGCAAATATCAGAGGATTGGGGCCTAGTGCCCATTTTTTAAAAAGGTACCTGAGACCTGCCTGCTAATTATAGGCCTGTTAGCATTTTAAGTATAATAAGTAAGCTCTAGGCCTGACCCTTATACAACAAATTAGTTGTCTGAACCCAAGCCAACATGGGTTTGTCAAAAACAGATCATGCCAGACAAATCTTATTGCATTCTTTGACCAAGTGACAAAATTAGTGGATCAGAAGAATGCTGTGGATATAATTAATTGGACTTCAATAAGGCATTTGATAAAGTAGATCACAACCTACTATTTGACAAGATAGAAAAATGTGGGGTAGACAGTATCACCACCAGATGGATCTGTAGCTGTCTGACAGGCCATACTCAGCATGTGGTCCTCAATGGAACTGCATCTACATGGAGGGAAGTGTGTAGTGGGGTGCCTCAGGGCTCTGTTCTAGGCCCAGTGCTCTTCAACATCTTTATCAATGATTTGGATGAGGGGATAGATGGGGAACTCTTCAAATTTGCAGACTACACCAAGCTGGCAGGAATAGCCAACACTCCAGAAGACAGGCTTAAGATACAGAAGGATCTGGACAGACTTGAACACTGGGCACTATCTAACAAAATGAAATTCAATGGTGAAAAAAACCAAGGTTCTACATTTAGGCAAGAAAACCCAAATGTACAGGTATAGTATAGGAGGTACCTTGCTTAATAGTAGTAACTGTGACAGGGACCTCGGAGTCCTAGTGGACAATCATGTAAATATGAGCCAGCAGTGTGCTGCAGCTGCCAACAAAGCCAACACAGTGCTAGGCTGCATTAACAGAGGCATAGAATCAAGATCACGTGAAGTGTTAATACCACTTTACAATACCTTGGTAAGGCCACACTTGGAATACTGCATCCAGTTTTGGTCACTGCGATGTAAAAAAGATGTTGAGACTTTAGAAAGAGTACAGAGAAGAGCAACAAAGATGATTAGGGGACTGGAGGCTAAAGCATATAAGAAACGGCTGCTGGAATAGGATATGTCTAGTTTAATGAAGAGAAGGACGAGGGGTGACATGACAGCAGTGTTCCAATATCTCAGGGGCTGCCACAAAGAAGAAGGAGTCAAGCTATTTTCCAAAGCGCCTGAAGGCAGGACAAGAAGCAACGGGTGGAAACTAATCAAGGAGAGAAGCAACTTAGAACTAAGGAGAAACTTCCTGACAGTTAGAACAATTAACCAATGGAACAACCTGCCTCCAGAAGTGGTGAATGCTCCAACACTGGAAGATTTTAAGAAGAGACTGGACAGCCATTTGTCTGAAATGGTATAGGGTTTCCTGCCTGAGCAGGGAGTTGGACTAGATGACCTCCAAGGTCCCTTCCAACTTTATTACTACTACTACTACTACTACTACTACTACTACTACTACTATTATTATTATTATTATTATTATTATTATTAATCTAGACCACATTTGGCAATGAGCAAGCAGGCTTCAGATTTGGACATTCTATCTATGGACATGCCCTTATACTTCAACACCTGGCTGGATAATATACATCTAAAATTGGCTTAATATTATATACTGCAATTACCGATTTTAGGTCCACATTCAATGTAGTTCCCAGAACAAGGATATGAATTAAACTTGTGAATACAGGTAGTCCTCCACTTACAACCACAACTGAGCCCAAAATTTTTGTAGCTAAGTGAGTCAGTTGTTAAGTAGGTTTTGCCCCATTTTATGCCTTTCTTGCCACAGTTGTTAAAATGAATCAGTGCAGTTGTTAAGTTAATAAGATGTTTGTTAAGTGAACCTGGCTTCCCCATTGACTTTGTTTGTCAGAAAGTCACAAAAGGTGATCACATGACCCTGGACACAGCAGCCATCATAAATACGAGTCAGTTGCCAAGCATGTGAATTTTGATCATGTGACCATGGGATGCTGCACAATCATAAGTGTGCCACTGTAACTTCGAACTAAGGATTACCTGTACTACCATCAAAAGATGATTACTGTTGCTTATGCATAGCATTTATAAGAATTGTAGTATGAATTCTACACAACACCAATGAGATTCTAACTTATGCAAGAGTGAGCCAGGATGTATTTTATCTCCCTGCTGTTTAACAGCCTGTACATGAATCCACTCATGGCCAAAATAATCAGAATATCACCTCACAAAACTAGCAAATAGACATATTGCAACTTTGTTGTATGCAAATGAAATAGTACTTCTATCACAAACAATGAATTCCGAATGCTCTGTCCAATTACTGCTCTGAGGAAGCACTTGCAATTAACCATAATGAAACAAAGAGACCTAAACTGTGGGGCTGGAGGATAAATGGCCAGAGTATTGAAAAATTTATTTTATTTTTTATTTATTTTTTAAAATTTATAAGCCGCCCCACTCCCGGAGGACTCTGGGCGGCTAACAATAAAAAACACATAAAACATAATAAAACAAACAGTACAAGAACAGTCATCCAGGGGTCAGATTTTATAAACCCCAGGCCTGCCGGAAAAGCCAGGTCTTAAGCAGCTTACGGAAAACCAACAGGGTGGGAACGGTCCTAATCTTCGGGGGGAGCTGGTTCCAAAACATGGGCGCCATCACAGAGAAAGCCCTCCTCCGCGGCCCCGCCAAATAGCACTGCTTGGTCGACGGGGCCCGAAGGAGGCCCAGCCTGTGGGATCTAACCGGACGTAGGGAACTATAAGGTAGTAGGCGGTCTTGCAAATAGCCTGGCCCTGAGCCATATAGGGCTTTAAAGGTAATGACCAACACCTTGAATTGGACCCGGAGACCAATAGGCAACCAGTGCAGCTCACGGAGGATAGGTGTAACGTGGGTGTATCGAGGACACCCACTATCACTCGCGCGGCTGCATTCTGGACCAACTGTAGTCTCCGAATACTTTTCAAGGGTAGACCCATGTAGAGCGCGTTGCAGTAGTCCAGACGTGAGGTGACAAGGGCATGAGTGACTGTAAGGAGAGCCTCCCGGTCCAGGTAGGGTCGCAACTAGTGCAACAGACGAACTTGTGCAAAGGTCCTCCCAGCCACAGCCGTCAAATGATGTTCCAAATTCAGCTGTGGGTCAAGGAGGACACCCAAGTTGCGAACCCACTCCGAAGGGGATATATTTTCCCCCGCAAGAGTCAACACTGGACAGTCGACATGATCCTTGGGAGGCCACATCCAAATGAAATCTTTTAAGTATTTGGGCATGGTTTTCCATAGCTCCACCAAATACTTTGCATATGAAAATTATGTCATATAAAATACTCAAGAAACAATTGCCGAAATTCAGTCTTTTTCACTGAATTTACCAGAGGAGTATAGCAGCACTTATAATGCCTGGTAAAATTAGTCAGACTTGATTATCCACTGACAAACCTACCACAATTATAAAATTCATCTTGTTTTGTTTTGTTTTTATTTTTAATGTGTTAAAATTTGCAATTCTGTCAATGACTATAATAAAAAATATTCATGTTATTTATAAATTAGTAGGAGTGAAAATTCAGGGTTGTACCATAGATCAGTATATAGTATATAAGTCCGAGGAACATGACAGGTAATACAATGAACTATATTGGATTTTGGATATGAATTCTTGTTTAAGAACATAAAAAGCCAATTACTGCATCAAAACAAAGCAAGTAACTGAGCACTCAACTTTGAAATTAGGCATATGACTTAAGGGAGTTTGAGATAGAAAAACAGCAAGATGGTCTATAGTTGTTTACCCTGTTTCAAATAACTTTTGCTCCAGTTAGATAATTTTATTTAGCTACCAGAGCTAAGATCATCTAGGTTTATTTTTAAATCAGACCAAAGGCCAGTGTAATTCAGCATCCTTTAGAAGATACCTAGTAATCAGCAATCATATGATAAGCAACAATGATCTAGCATCAGCTGTCTATGTGCTTATTTGAGACCTAACATTTAAACTGAAGCTTAGACAGTGCTTTTTTTGTAAAAAAAAAAAAAAAAAAAAAGGTGCCAGAACTCTCACATGTCAAACAACCCGCCTTGCCTACCCTACAAGGTTCCATTCAAAAAAGATGCCAGAACTCCATTCTGGGCGTTCTATGACAAAAAAAAGCCCTGAGCTTAGATATGAAATGTAAATGAACTGAACAAGTAAGAAATTATTTAGTAAGAATGCATATAAAACCTGTATGTAAACTTTTCAGCTTCCTTACTTTACTGCCCTATTTCTTACCAAACTGAATGATTGCCACAACCTTAAACACTGCCTACAAGGCTGACTTTTAAACTAATGATGCTCCTCTTCCTTCCCTATTTAATTTTATTTGTAGATTCAGAACTGGCATTAATGTATAATGATGCATCAGTGTTGGAGAATCATCATTTGGCAGTAGGATTCAAACTCTTGCAGGAGGAAAACTGTGATATTTTCCAGAATCTCTCTAAGAAGCAACGGCAAATGCTCCGGAAGATGGCCATTGACATGGTAAGAAGCTTTGTTGGTCATGGTCATAATTTTGAATGAATCACAATATTTCAAGTGACATGACAGGTGTTTATTGACATGCATGGGATTGATTATTTTGATGTTGAAAGCTGTTTCAGTGAGACTCTTGTTTAAGAATAAATTAATCACATAGTTAAGGAAGTAGGACAAGATTTTACTATTTTAAAAGCTTGGCAAACCTGTTTGAAAGAAAGGTTTATCTCTTGGGAAGTTTACATTCTTCTTCCCAAGTTTACATTCTTCTCTTGGGAAGTTTCTGTTGTTTTATTTTTATCCCCTGAAAAATAGTTGCTTGGCTTCAGTCAAATATAATGAAAATTCAGAGAACATTATGGCTTTATCAGTTATGGAGGGTAAACTTCTACATTGCATTTTTTACTTAAAGGCCATTCTAACCCACATCAGGACTTAGAGAATAGGAAAATCTAGTGATCATTTTTATTCTTGGGACTCTAATTAAAAACAAATGCTGAATGATTAATAAGGCTGTTAATCAAAGATATCTGTCAAAAACTGAATATGTGATTAAAGCCCCATTCCATTTCTACATTTGTCATTTGCAGCATGGCCACCATCTTGGCTTTGTAAAGAATATAAAGAAATTGAAATAAAAAGAAAAAAATATGTTGTGTGCATCTGAAACTAAAAATCCATCCAAACAGCTGCTTTAACAAGCATTCATTCCATTGTGAGTTGGCACAAAAGTATGGTGCCATAAATTGTACTGCTCCAACAGCTAATCTGTATTTATTCTAGGAACAAGCAGGGCTATTCTGACAATGTTAAGGTGGGACAAATTAAAGATAGCAAGTGGTTGCTCAGTTTCTGTTCCTACCTGCTAGATGAGAAAAATAATTGCCTATTTTTCTCCTGAATATTGGGATGGGTTTTATTTACAGGTAGTCCTCCTTAACAACACTAATTGGGAATCTGCTGTTAAGCAACGTGATTATAAATTGAAAAAACACATGACTGTAGTGCTGTCCCTATAGTGCCACTGTTGAATGAGGATTGTGAGGGTCATTAAGCAAGGACCTCTTGAGACTGCAATTTGCAATTTCCATGTTGATTTTACTTGTTTGGAAACTGGCAGGGAGACTTACAAATTGCAATTGTGACCATGGGACACAGTGACAGTCAGAAGTGTGGGCCAATTATCTGAAATGCAATCACATGACTGATGGGACACTGTGATGACCAGTTGTAGGTACTATTTGTTTAATACCATCATGACCATTGTAATTTCAAACAAACGTTGTATGGTCATTAAACAAGGCCCATTTGTATTCAGTTTTGATGCCACTTACTTCAATTAGGGTTTGAGTGACAGTAACTATGAATGAACTGTTTGATACTTCACCAGAGCTAATGTAATGATTTTAAAATCATATTGAAAATAAAATAAATACTCTTGGCTACCTTTGGAATTGCCCTACTGTTGGTCTTCACAGCAAACTTAATACTACCAAACTCTTCCTCTATTCCCAATATTTAAAGAGTTTTCTTTGTTTAAAAAAAGGTAGTGATACTTCATAATAAGAAACCCCCAAATAAGCTAATGCGTACTTTGATAAATGCCAGATTGCCAGTGTCCACAAACTGGGGGGGAGAGGGTAGCATACCAAGAGCAATCAGATTCTGATTGTGCCACAGTCACTGGCAAAATGCTAGAAATTGTATGCAGCAGGGCTTATGCTGAGAAGATAGTAAGCATCCCTGTAACACTGAATCAACTAACTACAAAGTGAGCTGGGTTCACTTTGGGCTGGGATAAACTGAAGATAATATGAGGGGTCTCCTTAACAAATGGCTAATTAGGCAACTTCAAGCCACCTTTAGAAGGATGTTGGATGAGTTCTACGAAAATTGAATTGAATTCAACACTTTATTCAGCAAATTGTGATTAGACACATAAGGAATTTGTCTCCAGTGCAGAAGCTCTCAGTATATATACAAAGCAACAGAATAATGACCATCATCATCATCACCATCCCAAAAAGATAGGGGAATAAAGAAGATAATAACGATACATAATAATACTACAGCCATACTACATGAGTAAATATACATAGACATTAAACAGCACTGAGAGAATTAGATATTCAGCAGAGTGATAGCTGAATGCTAGAAAAAATATGACAGAGTGATGGAAAAAGGGGAAAGGAAAAATCTGAATGAAGGTAGTAGGATCTGGTGCAGAGCTGAGGAATACATGAAGGAAAATGAATGTGCATATTGGATTATGAATGAAAAGATTAAAATGTGTGTCAGTATGAATTGGTGTCATCTAGTCGTGGTGGATGCATATGAAAATAAGAATCCATGTGTTGGTGACAGTTCACGTTACTCTCTTCCAAATAGTAATAACATCAGACCCAGGGATCAGCTTCAGGGGGAATTGTGCAATACTAAGAAAGTATGTAATCCAGATGAAAATTATTCTATTAGCTAACATGAGTGGGTAGATGGGAACAAGATGACAGGGTACACAAAGAAGTGATCAAGCCATTCTGAAGCTCAAGAATTAATAATAACAGTAATTATTCGGGGCTTATCTACTTAGAAAAAGACTTGTTTGTTTGAATGTGTGGTTTATGCATAGATCTATATGGCTAAGGAATTAATATAAATTGAAAAGTGTGATTGATTTGAGAGTTTACAAAGAAAGATCAAGAGAATTAGTGAAGATGATGAAAGGTTCTGAATGTGATGTAGATCATTTTTATAGAAAGGTTTAAAGTGGATTTTGGAAATATATACATATTTAAAAAAGAAAAAAGTGAAATTGGAGTGAAAGAATAATTAAAGGAAGGGAATGTCAGAGGCTGTATAAAATAAGATTAAAAGACAGATTACACAAAAAGAATGGAAAGTGTATGTAAAAGAAACAGGAAGTGGAAAATGCTTGGAACAGAGTGAAAAGAAATGTAATTACTTCTAATTGGAAGTAAAAAAAGAAGCTTAGTGAAATGATCAGGTGAAAGAGGCAGTGAGTGAGAAAAAATATATATCAGAGAATGACTGCTGCAAAAAATAAGAATAAGATATAAAATCTTTCCCGGCAGAAAAAGAAAGTTTATACAATACAGTCAAAGAGAACAAGGAATGGTTAAGATTAAAAGCAGCAGAGAACAAGAGTGATATCAGTGATAATAAAAATTGTTTTTGAAGCGAGCTAAATAAGGAACTTTCAGCAGAGTAAAAAGAATTAAACATAAAAGTAATGAAATTATTGGGAAAGAATCTGAAGTAAAACTGAAATTGAACTTTCATAGATTTATAGGAATGATACACGAGTAGTCCTTGTTTAATGACAGTAATTAGGAATTTCCCTTTGCTAAATAATGAAGTCATAAAGCATGATTCCAAAAGTCCCCATTGCTGTTGTTAAGTGAGGATTGTGAGTCATTGAGTGAGGACCTCACATGATCCTGATCTGTAACTTTCTGCCGACTTCTAATAAGCAAAATCAGCCAGCAAGAAGTCGCAAATGCTGGACAGCTTGCAAGCAGGCTGCTGGATGAGTGCCATGGAGTGTGGCCAAGTGACGGATGGGGTGCTGTGGTGCCACATGAGTGTGGCCATGCAGGGGGATGCTGTGGTGTGAGTGCAACTGGATAGGCGGGCATGGGCTAGAGCAGTGGTTCTCAACCTTTCTAATGCCACGACCCCATAATACATTTCTCCATGTTGTGGTGACCCCCAACCACTTATACATCACTGGGTTCCAGGGGCATGGCCAAAGAAAAGGGGAAAAAAATGGTGGACAGCCTTGTTTGGTGACCCCCGTGAAATGGTCATTCGACCCCAAATGGGGTCCCGACCCACAGGTTGAGAACCACTGGGCCAGAGAGTGTGGGTGGCAGGCAAGTGATACAGAGTATGAGATCCAAGGCGCCTGAAGGCAGGACAAAAAGCAACGGATGGAAACTAATCAAGGAGAGAAGGGGCATTGTCTTACCTGAATGCCTTTTCTCAGCACGGAGATGGAGAATCCACCAATGGGTTTTCTCTGTCTGCCTGCTCTTGAGACCAAGTTAGCCAAACCTGACACGCCCCCTGTTGCTAGGAGATCGCAGTCTTACGAGGGCGAAAGCAGCTGATGTTAGGACGAGGTGTTGGCTCTCAAACCCCTAAAACCGGCCTAACTGACCTTAAGGGTGGGTGTGGATTCTCCATCTCCGTGCTGAGAAAAGGCATTCAGGTAAGACAATGCCCCTTCTCCAGCACAGGAGATGGAGAATCCACCAATGGAACATACCAAAGCCTCATTGTCCCAATGGGTGGGAAACAGACGAGGCCAGTTCCACGTCCCCGGAAACCATCTGCTGAAGGACCCTCCTACCAAAAGAGGCGTCCGCTGAAGCAAAGCAGTCAATTTTATAATGGCGTACAAACGGGGAGGGAGAAGACCATGTCGCAGCCCAAATCTCCTCAATGGACATCTGAGTGGCCCATGCTGCAGAGGTCACAGCACTGCGAGTGGAGTGAGCTGTGATATGACTTGGAGCTGGCAGTGAAGAAGACTGATACACCTCCGCGATAGAGACGAAGAGGGCCTCCGACCTGCGAAAAGACGCTGTGCGCTTGATGTATCATCGTAGCATCCTGCGGATGTCCAGTTTGTGCCACTGCCGCTCCAAGTCATGGGAAGGATTGGGACAGAAATCTGGCAAAATAATTTCTTGAACTCTGTGGAAAAGCGAATTGACCTTGGGCACGAATGTGGGATCCAGCCAAAGGACCACCCGGTCCCGGTGGAAAATGCAAAGATCATTCCTGATCAATAGAGCTGCCATTCAGAAATGCGCCTGGCTGACGTGATAGCGATCAGGAAAGCGAGCTTGTGGGATAAAGACCTCAAAGCTATAGTAGCGACCAGCTCAAAAGGCGGTCTAGTGAGTGCACGTAGAACTCGGAGCAACTCCCAAGATGGGTACCTGTGTACCACGGGCAGCTTGGTGTTGCTGGCGCCCTTG